TGAATCAATCTGGGGCTGTTCCACATTCAGACTTCCTGTTGCGTTAGATAATAAATCTTCCTCATTGCTGAAGTTATTTTGAGTCAGGGTAAAATAAGCTTGAATAAGCTAAACTCATTCAAACTGGTACATATAGATTAGTTCTCTCTGTTACCCCTTTCTTCTTCCACCCAGCCAACATTTTAAATATTCTTAACATAATTTCATTGTTACTGACTTTTTTTTTATAGGTAGAGGTTAGTTTTCCTCAGTGGTAGACGTAAATTTATCTTCATGTTTTATATTTTACCTTGGGAATCTACTATAAGAAAGTATCCTTATCAAAGATATGTGATTACTATACCTATAGGGAACAAATTATATTTCTAAGGCCATAGAAAAATCAGTGGTGTTTTTTGATCGCCAAACACATTCATTTTAACCAAAGATCCTTTTCCCCTATTTAAAATAAAGAGAAAGAAAAAAAATGAGTTATAGGTGGAAGCCTTCTAATTCTTATCTCAATTTTTTTTCCATAAACTTTCATTACAGCAACTCCTCGAAGCCTGACTGTTTGGCTTTCACAGTTTAATTTCTTAGCTTTAAGTTAACATTATTCCCTAAATCTCACTAATCCCCTAAGGAAGATGAACATAATGGTGAACTTCATATAAAAATATTCTATTAAATTTTGAAATGATTAAATTGTATACATAAAAATAAAAAGGAATGACATTGAATTTATATAACTTCCTACCAAAATTTCTACATTTTCTGCCATCTTTTCATCAATACCACTTCCAAATGTCTCTCTGTGTGAACTTTATCAAGACAAGTGTCAGAATTCATAAAATCAACTAGAGTAATTGAAAGGCCTGTGTTAATTACAAATCATAACACAAGTCAAGGTTAATTACAATTAGACTTTAAATGTTTTGCTTGAGGACGTTAGACTTATTTAGTCTGGATCATATTAAAATAAAAATGAAATGCTTATGTAGGAAATATATAACAGTATAGTATAGTTGCAGGGAGTTTAGGGGACACCACTACCCAACACTATTTAAACATTACATATTCCTGTCAAAAGTAACAAAAATAAGCAGTTTGAATATAAATTATTCTAAGGACTTTTTAGCTCCTAAATGAAAAAGTAAAGGCCATAATCTCTTAAGCATCCCTGGGCAATAGCTATTTTTAAAAATTCGAACTGTGAAAAAGCTGAGATGTCAACATTCATTTCTGAAGTTTAGAGCCAATTTTGTCACACAAGTGCCTTACTAATTTTTTTGTCCCTGTGTTATGCTCTAAGGGGAGTTCTCCAGAACAAAACCTTAAGCTTAATCCAAAAGCAAATTACTCAGAACCCACCCTCTCATGTTTTTAGTGTCTTTCTAGCTCCTTGTAATGAAGAATTTGGGAGATGAGATTAGAACTTTTAGAGATAACTATGAAGATATGATAAAGAACAGTCTTACACAGGCTAGAAAGTGGGCATGAGATCTCTAAAGTACAAGATTAGCAGACAGCCTAATATGAAACTGAATGGAGCTATTCCTTAAGTTAAAAAAGAAACTATTTTCTTTAAGGACAATTTGAATGACTTTTGATAAATGTACTTTAGCTATGCAAAATGTAAACATCTGGAGGGTCCAGGTGGAGGGTACATAAGCAATCATAAAAAACAGAAAAAGCCTAGGATCAGATAGATTCACAGCCAAATTCTACCAGTTGTTTAAGGAAGAGCTGGTATCATTCCTACTGAAACTATTTCAAAAAACTGAGGAGGAGGCACTCCTTCCTAACTCATGATATGAGGTCAGCATCATCCTGATACCAAAATCTGGCAGAGACACAACAAAACAAGAAAACTTCAGGCCAATATCCTTGATGAACATCAGTGCAAAAACTCTCAACAAAATAGCAAACTGACTAGGCACAGTGGCTCATGCCTATAATCCCAGCCCTTTGGGAGGCCAAGGCAGGAGGATTGCTTGAGCCCAGGATTTTGAGATCAGCCTGGGCAATGTGGCTAAACCCCGTTTCTACAAAAAATAAAAAAATTAGCTGGGTGTGATGGTGTGTGCCTGTAGTCCCAGCTACTCAGGAGGCTGAGAGAAAAAGGTTGGCTGAGCCTGGAGTGAGTCATGATCACACCACTGCACTCTAGCCTGGGTGACAGAGTGAGACCCTGTCCCCAAAAAACAAAACAACAACAACAAAAAAATATGAGCAAACCAAGTTCAGCAGAACCACTACTTTGCCAGAACATGACCAGACTGCTTCTTTAAGTGGGACCCGGGTTCATTTCTCCTCACTGGGCAGGACCTCCCAGCCCTGACCTCCAGCCACCGCCCCACCAGTATTCTATTGTCAGAGCTCTGATCTCTCCCTGGGACAGAGTGCAGGAGGAGGTGCTGCCACCTTGGTTGTTTGGAGGACTCAGGCTTTCCAGTCTGCAGGCTTTGGAGAGTCCAAGCCAACAGAGGCAGAGGCAGTTCCCCAGCATGACAGCTGAGGCAGTTCCCCAGCTGTTTTGTCAAGGTGTGGCCAGACTGCTTCTTTGAATGGGACTCTGATCCACTCCTCCTCACAGGGCAGGTCCTCCCAGTTGGGACCTCCAGCCACCTCCACCCATGTTCTATGGCCGACAGATGTCTAATTTCTCCCTGGGATGGAATGCCCAGAAAGCAGGGCAGGCCACCACCTTAGCTGTTTGAGCATCTTAGCCAGTCCACCCTGTGGGCCTTGGAGAGCTCAAACTAATCAGGGTCTGAATGGACCCTGAAAACAGCACAGTTGCTCTATAAAAAAGCAGCCAGATTGCGTCTTTGGGCAGGTCCCTAATCCAGTTCCTCCTGACTGGGTGAGACCTCCCAACCAGGGTCTCCAGATACCTCCTACAGGTGTGTGTGGGCCAGCAACAGGTCAGTACCCCCCCGGGACAGAGCTTCCAGAGGAAGTGGCAGGCTGCCATATTTGCTGTTTCACAGCCTTCACTGGTGATACCTCCAGGTGTGGGAAAAACCAAGGTGACTACAGTCTGGAGCGGACTCCCAGCAAACCACAGCAGCCCTACAGAAGAGTGGCCAGACTGTTAAAAGAAAAGCAAACAAACAGAAAACAACAACAAAACACACACACACACACACACACCCAAAATAAAAAATAAAAAAACTCCATCCAAAAGTCAGCAACTTCAAAGATCAAAGCTAGATGATAAGGCCACAAAAGAATCAACTCAAAAACCTGAAAATTCAAAACGTCAGACTGCTCCCTTTCCCCCAAATGACTGCAATACCTCTCCAGCAAGGGCTCAGAACTAGGCTGAAATGACAGAAGTAGGCTTCGGAATGTGGATAAAAATGAACTTTCCTGAGCTAAAGGAACACGATGTAACCCAATGCAAAGAAGCTAAGAATTAAGATAAACAATGCAGGAGCTGACAGTCAAATGCCAGTTTAGACAGGAAAAGAACTGACCTGATAGAGCTGAAAAACATACTACAAGAACCTTTCAATGCAATCACAAGTATTAATAGCAGAATAGACCAAGCAGAGGAAAGAACCTCAGAGCTTGAAGACTATCTTTCTGAAATAAGACAGGCAGACAACAATAGGCAAAAAAAGAATGAAAAGAGGCTAGGAGTTGTGACTCATGCCTGTAATCCCAGCACTTTGGGAGGCTGAGGTGGGTGGATCACGAGATCAGGAGATCGAGAGCAAACTGGCTAACATGGTGAAACCCCATCTCTACTAAAAATACAAAAAAAATTAGCCGGACGTGGTGGCAGGCACCTGTAGTCCCAGCTAGTCAGGAGGCTGAGGCAGGAGAATGGTGGGAACCCAGGAGGTGGAGCTTGCAGTGAGCCGAGATCACGCCACTGCATTCCAGCCTGGGTGACAGAGCGAGACTCAAGCTCGGGCGACAGAGCGAGACTCTGTCTCAAAAAAAAAAAAAAGAATGAAAAGAAATGAACAAAACCTGCAAGAAATATGGGATCATGTAAAGAGACCGAAACTATGACTGATTGTAGTACCTAAAAGAGACAGGGAGAACAGAACCAAGTTGTAAAACATACTTCAGGATATCATCCAGGATAACTTCCCCAACCTAGCAAAGCAGGCCAACATTCAAATTTAGGAAATGCAGAGAACCCCAGTAAGATGCACCACAATATCATTCCCAAGACACATAATCATCACATTCTCCAAGGTCAAAATGAAAGAATAACTGTTAAGGGCAGCCACAGAGAACGGCCAGGTCACCCACAAAGGGGAGTCCATCAGACTAACAGTGGACCTCTCAGCAGAAACCCTACAAGCCAAAAGAGATTGAGGGCCAATATTCAACATTCTTAAAGAAAAGATTTTCCAACCTAGAATTTCATATCTGGCCAAACTAAGCTTCATAAGTGAAGGAGAAATAAGATCCTTTTCAGACAAGCAAATGCTGAGGGAATTCATTACCACTAGACCTGCCTTACAAGAGCTCCTGAAGGAAGCACTAAATATGGAAAGGAAAAACCTTTCCCAACCACTACAAAAAGACAATGAAGTACACAGACCAGTGACACTATGAAGCAACCACATAAAAAAGTTTGCAAAATAACCAATTAGCATTGTGATGACAGGATCAAATCCACACATAACAATTATAATCTTAAATCTAAATGGGTTTAATCCCCCAATAAAAAGACACAGAATGGAAGAAATCACAGCCAGAAAAATGGCAGATAGGAGACAGGACTAACCTGCAGCTCCCACTTGGACAGATAGAACTGTGGAGGGTCATGTGGAGACTCACACTGTGAACTTTTGCTCCAAGAAACACTGCAGGAACATACCAGGGAAACGGAAAAAATTCACGGCCCCTTTGAAAGCAGTGACTTGCTGCTGCAAACTCCGTTACACAAAAAACTGTGAGTTCCCAAAGTATGAGAGGGAAAACGTTTGCTTCCAAACACAGTCCCCACTGAGGAACCTAAAAATCCAGACCACAAGAGAAGAATTTAACCTTACCTAGAGCTGACATGGATTTAGGGAGCCAAGCAAAATATAAAAGTAGAAGAAGTAGTGGCAAGAGCCCTGCAGGCAGTCCTGGTCCCCAGCTCGAACCCAGCGAAGCCATCCCTTGCCTTATCTCACAGGGACCCTCAGGAAAGGCCACCAGTAGAACTGGGGAGGGGCCACAGGGTGAAGGAAGCTTCTAGCTGAACTTTATAATAACTTCAACTAAGCATGAATTTTTCTGAGCAGGACTCAGGAGGCAAACAGGAAGTGCAGATATGAGCACAGAAGCCACAGCCAAAGGTGCAGGCAGGTGGAGAGGGGTGGGGGCTGAGAGCTCTGCTTCCTTTCTCAGCCAGGAGGCTTATAACCTAGGGCAAGATCTCAGCCGTGCTGACCAGCTGCCTGGGTATGAACTTTGTGCTGTTCATAGGGCACGGTGGGACTGAGACGCCTTGCTGGCTTCATGGCAGCTGAGTGAGGCCTCTCACTGCCAGCTTTCCCTTACTTCCCTGGTGACCCGCATGACATAGCAGAGCCAGCCATAATCCCCTGGAAACATAACTCTACTGGCCCGAGAACCACCTCCTATCCCCCACAGTAGCCACAGCAAGCCGCACCCAAGGAGAGTCAGAGCTCAGACCTGCCTAACTCTGCCCCCACTATGGGTTTTTGCTACCAACCCTGGTAGCCAAAGACAAAAGACATAAACTCTTGGGAGCTCTATGGCCCCACCCATCACCTGAGAAACCCAAGTATTTAACCTGGTTAATGTAGGGCAAGAATATATCGCCCTTCAACTACTGCAGCTGGTGTCCTGAAAGCATCAACTCCTGGCTGGAGGTCAACAAACTCAGACAACTCATAACAGAACAACCCTGCTCCAAAGGAGAAAACAATAGCTAATTCCATCATCTGCAACATCCTGACTAACCAGAGGTCCTGAATCTGTCCATGTGACTTCACTGCTAGCATAACCAGCATTCAAGAAAACCAGTGCACTAAACAAAACTACAACCGAGGACTTCCACAGATTCCACTTCACTCCCTTACAACCTCCACTGGAGCAGGTGCTGGTATCCATGGCTGAAAAACCTAAAGACAGATCATATCACAGGATTCTTTGCATACATGCCCTGGCACCAGCCTGGAGCCTAGTAGCCCCGATGAATGGCTAGACCCAGAAGGGCAATAGCAAACCCCCTCACTGCAGTCTGGCTCTCAGGAAGCCTTATCTCTGGGGTAAGGGGGAGAGCACCCCATCAAAGGATCACTCTGTAGGACAAAAGAATCTGAACAGCAGCCCTTGAGTTCCATATCTTTCTACTGAAACAGTCCACCCAAATGAGATGGAACCAGAAAAGTAATTCTGGTAATATGAGAAAACAAGATTCTGTAACTCTGCAAAAGATCATACTAGCTCTCCAGCAATGGATCCAAACCAAGAAAAAAATCTCTGAATTGCCAGATAAAAGATTCAGAAGGTTGACTATTAAGCTATTCAAGGAGGTACCAGAGAAAGATGAAAAACAACTTAAAGAAAATTTAAAAACAATACAAGATATGCATTAAAAAGTCTCCAGAGAAATAGATGTCATAAAGAAGACAACTGCAAGTTCTGGAAATGAAAGACACACTTAGAGAAATGCAAAATACAATGGAAAGTTAATAGAATCAAACAATAACTTCCTAGCTCAAAGACAAGGCTTTTGAATCAACCCAACCTGACAAAGACAAAGAAAAAAGAATGTAAAAAAATGAACAAAGCCTCCAAGAAATTTGGGATTATGTTAAGTTACCAAACACAAGAATAATTGGTGTTCCTGAGGAAGAAGAGAAATATAAAAGTTTGGAAAAAATATTTGAGGGAATATTCAAGGAAAAATTTTCTGATCTGGCTAGAGATCCAGACATCCAAATACAAAATGCTCAAAGAACACTCAGGAAATTCATTGCAAAAAGATCATCACTTAGGCACATAATCATCAGGTTATCTAAAGTCAAGATGAATAAAAGAATCTTAAGAACTGTGGGGCAAATGCAACAGGTAACCTATAAAGGAAAACCTATCAGATTAACAGCAGATTTCTCAGCAGAAACCCTACAAGCCAGAAGGGATTGGGGTCCTATTTTTAGCCTCCTGAAACAAAATAATTACCAGCCAAGAATTTTCTATCCAATGAAACTAAGCTTCATAAATGAAGGAAAGATAAAAATCTTTTTCAGACAAACGAATGCTGACAGAATTCGTTACTACCAAGCCAGCACTACAAGAAATGCTAAAAGGGGTTTTAAATATCGAAACAAAATCTTGAAATACACTAAATTCAAACCTACTCAAAGCATAAATCTCACAGGGCCTATAAAACAACAACACAAGATTTTAAAAAGACAACAACAACTAGCATGATGAATAGAACAGTACCTCACACCTCAATACTAATATTGAATGTAAATGACCTAAATGCTCCACTTAAAAGATACAGAATGGCAGAATGGATAAAAACCCACCAACCAAGTATCTGCATTCTTCAAGAGACTCACCTAACACATAAGGACACACATAAATTTAAGATAAAGGGGTGAAAAAAGATAGTCTATGCAAATGTAAACCAAAAGTGAGCAGATGTAGCTATACTTATGTCAGACTAAACAGACTTCAAAGCAACAACAGTTTAAAAAGACAAAGAGGGATGTTATATAATGATAAAAGGAGTAGTCCAACAGGAAAATATCATAATCCTAAATATACATATAACTAGTATTGGAGCTCCCAAATTCATAAAACAATTACTATTAGAACTAAGAAATAAGATAGACAGCACAACAATAATAGTGGCGGACCTCAATACTTCACTGACAGCACTTGAGAGGTCATCAAAACAGAAAGCCAACAAAGAAACTATGAATTTAAACTATCCCCTAGAAGAAATGGACTTAACAGATATTTATAGAACAATCTATCCAACAACTGCAGAATATACATTCTTTTCATCAGCACATGGGATACTCGCCAAGACAGACCATATGATAGGCCACAAAACTAGGCAATAAATTTTAAAAAATCAAAATTTTATCAAATACTCTCTCAAATCATAGTGGAATAAAATTGGAAATTAACTCCAAAAGGAATCCTCAAAACTATACAAATACATGGAAATTAAATAATCTGCTCCTGAATGAACTTTGGGTCAACAGTGAAATCAAGATGGAAATTTAAAAATTATTTGAGATGGGCCGGGCTCGGTGGCTCAAGCCTGTAATCCCAGCACTTTGGGAGGCCGAGATGGGCGGATCACGAGGTCAAGAGATCGAGACCATCCTGGATAATACGGTGAAACCCCGTCTCTACTAAAAAATACAAAAAAAACCTAGCCGGGCAAGGTGGCGGGCGCCTGTAGTCCCAGCTACTTGGGAGGCTGAGGCTGGAGAATGGTGTAAGCCCGGGAGGCGGAGCTTGCAGTGAGCTGAGATCTGGCCACCGCACTCCAGCCTGGGCTACAGAGCGAGACTCCGTCTCAAAAAAAAAAAAAAAATTCTTTGAGATGAATGCTAATAGTGGCACAACCTACCAAAACCACTGGGATACAGTAAAAGCAATACTAAAAGGAAAGCTCATAGCATTAAATGACTACATCAAAAAGTCTTAAAGAGCACAAACAGACAATCTGAGCTCCAACCTCAAGGAACTAGAGAAATAAGAACAAATAAAATCCAAACCCAGCAGAAGAAAAGAAATAACCAAGGCCAGAGCACAACTAAATGAAATTGGAAAAAATACATAAAAGATAAATGAAACAAAAAGCTGATTCTTTGAAAAGATAAATATATCAGTAGACCATTAGTAAGATTAACCAAAAAAAAAAAAAAAAAGAAGAGAAAAGGTCCAATTAACCTCAATTAGAAATGAAACAGGAGATATTACAACCAATACCACAGAAATACAAAAGATCATTCAAAGCTACTACAAACACCTTTATGTGCACAAACGAGAAAACCTAGAGGAGACAGATAAATTCATGGAAATATACAACCCTTCTAGATTAAACCAGGAAGCAACAGAAACCCTGAACAGACCAATGACAAGCAGCAAGATTGAAGCAGTAATTTTTAAATTGCCAACAAAAAAATATCCAGGACCAGATGGATTCAAAGCTGAATTCTACCAGACATTCAAAGAAGCATTTGTTCCAATCCTACTGATACTATTCCAAAAGATAGAGAAATAGGGAATCCTCCCTAAATTATTCTATGAAGCGTGTATTACCGTAATACCAAAATGAAGAAAGGACATAACAAATAAAAGAAAATTATAGGCCAATTTCCCTGATGAACATAGACGCAAAAATCCTCAACAAAATACTAGTTAACCAAATCCAAAATCATATCAAAAAGGTAATACACCATGGTCAAACAGGGACTCAGGATTGGTTTAACATATCCAAGTCAATAAATGTGATACACCACATAAACAATTAAAAACAAAAATTACATTATCATCTTAATATATGCAGGAAAAGCATTTGACAAAATCCAGCATCTTTATGATTAAAACCCTCAGTTAAATTGGCATAGAAGGGGCATACCTTGAAGTAATAAAAGCCATCTATGACAAACACACAGCCAACATTATGCTGAAAGGGGAAAAGTTGAAAGCATTCCCCCTGAGAATTGAAACAAGCCAAGGATACCCACTTTCACCACTTCCATCAACATAGTACTGGAAGTCCTAGCCAGAGCAATCAACAACAGAAAGAAACAAAGGCATTAAATCAGTAAAAAGGAAGTCAAACCGTCCTCTGCTCACTGGTAATATGATTGTATACCTAGAAAACCCTAAAGACTCATCCAAAAAGCTCCTAGATCTGAAAAACAAATTCAATAAAGTTTGAAGATACAAAATCAATGTACACAAACCAGTAGTATTGCTATTCTCTAACAGTGACCAAGCTGAGAATCAAATCAAGAACTCAACCCCTTTTACAACAGCTGCAAAAAATAATAATAATAAAATACTTAGGAATACACCTAACCAAGGAGGTGAAAGACCTCTATAAGAACTATAAAACACTGCTGAAAGAAATCATAGAAGACACAAACAAATGGAAACACATCCCATGTTCATGCTCATGGATGGGTAGAATCACTTGGGGAAATGACCATATTGCCAAAAGCAACCTATAATTTCAATGCAATTTTCATCAAAATAACATCATTGTTCTTCACAGAGCTAGAAAAATCAATCCTAAAATTCATATAGAACAAAAAAAGAGCCCACATATCCAAAACAAGACTGAGAAAAAGGTACAAATCTGGAGGCATCAAATTACCACACTTCAAACTATACTACAAGGCTATATTTATCAAAACAGCATGGCACTGGTATGAAAACAGGCACGTAGACCAATGGAACAGATTAGAGAACACAGAAATAGAGCCAAATACAGCCAACTGATCTTTAAGAAAGCAAACAAAAACCATAAAGTGGGAAAAGGGCACCCTACTCAACAAATGGTGCTGGGATAATTGGCAAGCACAGAGAAGAATGAAACTGGATTCTCATCTCTCATCTTATAAAAACATCAACTTGAGATGGATCAAAAACTTACATCTAAGACCTGAAACCATAACAATTCTAGAAGATAACATCAGGAAAACTCTTGTAGACACTGATTTAGGCAGAGTTTATGACCAAGAACCCAAAAGCAAATGCAACAGAAACAAAGATAAATATAATAGATGAGACTTAATTAATCTAAAAAGCTTCTGCACAGCAAAAGAAATAATCAGTGGAGTACACAGACAACCCAAAGAGTGCGAGAAAATATTCACAAACTATGCATCCAAACAAGGACTAATATCTAGAATCTCAAGGAACTCAAACAAATCAGCAAGAATAAAAAACAGAAAATCCCATCAAAAAGTGGACTAAGACAAGAACAGACAATTCACAAAAGAAGATATACAAATGGCAAACAAACATATGAAAAAATATGCAACATCACTAATTATCAGGGAAATGCAAATCAAAACCACAATGTAATACCACCTTACTCTTGCAAGAATGGCTATAATTAGAAAATCAAAAAATAACAACTGTTGGCATGAATGTGGTGAAAAGAGAACACTTTTACACTGCTGGTGGGGATGTAAACTAGTACAACCACTGTGGAAAAGAGTATGGAGGTTCCTTAAAGAATTAAAAGTAGGACTATCATTTGATCCAGCAATCCCACTACTGGGTATCTACCCAGAGGAAAATAAATCATTATGTGAAAAAGAAACTTGTACATGCATATTTATAGCAGCACAATTTGCAATTGCAAAACTATGGAACCAGCTTTAATGCCTGTCAACCAATGAGTGGATACAGAATGTGGCATATATTCATCATGGAATTCTACTCAGACATAAAAAGGAATTAAATAATGGCATTAACAGCAACCTGGATGGGGGTGGAGACCATTATTCTAACTGAAGTAACTCAAAAATGGAAAACCAAACATCCTATGTTCTCACTTATAAGTGGAAGCTAAGCTATGAGAAAACAAAGGCATAAGAATAATATAATGGACTCTGGGGACTCAGGGGGAAGTGTGGGAGGGGGTCAGGGATAAAAGACTACACATTAAGTGCAGTGTACCATGCTCAAGTGATAAGAACACCAAAATCTCAAAAATCACCACTAAAAACTTATTCATGTAAA